ATGCTACCCCTGTAAGATATACATCATTGTTTTATATTGACAAACTTCAATTAACACACAGTAGCAAAGAAGAGGCGGTATAGATACGCCTGTCTGTCAAGTGCAACTAAGTAATATTATGATGGGCCATCAGCAAGATTGGCTGTAATCACACCTGACCAGGTTCATTCGGCGCGTTCAAATCAGAAACAGTATATTACAGCAGTCTCAATGGGTCAATTGTCGATAATCTTTACCCCTACTGAACAACGCTTACAATTGATAACTAGAGAAATTGATCCATTGGCACTCTTCCCCCTCCTGCCAGCTTCGGCATGCGTTCAAGTTCATCATTTCCCAGTCTTTAGTTGTCCTCGTCAGAGTCACCTTGGTGGCCATGTCGTTGGAGTCGAATGTATTGCAGCACTTGGTCCAACATTTCAGGCGTACCGTTGACAATTTCTGGGTTGCCAGTGGAAAAATTGTTCACTTCATGTTGCCACAGTCTGTATGCTGGGTCGTTCGGCGGGAGGATGTCAAACACTTGAGCAGGTAATGCTCGACCATACGCAAGAAAACCCTTGTACAGGGTTTCTACGGCAAATATCAGAGCATAGTTGGGACTGCCTCTCAATACTGGCTTCTCACGGACGGCACCAGGCTGATGGTATATATTGATCAGATTGGAGCATTGCACAATCAAGATCATTCACTCACCGCAGTAGTGCTAGCATACCCATGAAGGAAGCACAAAGTGTTTTTAGGAATGGTGGAGACGTTGAGCTTCGCAGGTTTATCTGGAAACCGGGAAGCGCGAGAAGGGTCAATCAGGGGGCGTTTCAAGCAAACCTGATCATAGATACCCTTGATTAGTAACGTACACAATAAGAAGCATCAAAGAATCACAGACCATGTCTCCAGGTTTAAATTCATCTGCCCGTAAATGTGTCCCAGAAACAGGACCGACATCTGAGACAGTAAGCATATTGCTTGCTGCACCCGACGTCACCGTGTGCACGAAGCTCAGCTTCCTCCCCCTATGAATCTTCACGAAACAATAAAGCGTATTAATTGCCCTGTTGCGGGTAGGTCCATCGGGCGCAGTCGATGGTTCAAATACCTCAAGCTACAAGTGGAATTTCAGTCCCCTGCTAGAGAGAAGGAATACATGGCACAGCACACCTGCGTACGGAATTGGGGAGTGACCTTTGACGCGTCAATGATCTGGACAAGTGTCCCCTCAGGGAACGCTGAACCAGCATCATAGCGCAACCTTGCAAGCCGTGGTACCTGCAATCGAACATAATATGTTAGTGGCTTGTGTGCACTATAGGGAGTTGAGACGAGTACTAGACGTGCCTGGAGAAGAGGAACAAAGGAGTTGTGTGTATTGGCCATGGTGGAAGGGAGCAGTTAAGTATCAGATATACGTGACGCCACACCCTGAGGTACTATGAACGGAACTGGCACCCTATATATACGCAGCTACCATCGTGCGGCTATGGTGCCGCGTCAAAGGTGCCCGGAGCACCACTGCCTCGTTTTTTCCAAACCAAATACACCAAATCGCCACAAACAAATACCTGAGGAAGCTAGTGCAGGGATTACTATCGCTACCGGAAGTTCTGATATTGAATGATCCTTTCACCGCTGAATCAGTACATACTTATTTGGGATTCCCCGGGAAGATAGCTGAGGACAGACAAGATCGTCACCGCCATTCTGAATCAATGAAGGGGTACCAAACTGTACTTAGTGTTCTCAGGCTGGGATGCGATATGGCGACCCGGGAATATAATTGTAAGTAGGGCTACGGCCCGAGACTCGGAAAACGCAAGTATGTTAGTCTTCACCGGCGGAAATAGAAACCTTTTCAGGACGTCTATCAGACCATTGTGCACTTTGTCGGACATTCGCCCTCGCGATGGTATTGGGCTGCTAGTAATGGCGGTGTCATCAGGACTTCCGCCATGTTTGATTTCACCCACCAGTGTGTACCTGCTATAGTAGATTCAGGGACTCGCAGCAGCACGACTTCGGTGACAATGGGACCACTTACTTTCTCGAGTCCCAACAAGCCTAGTTCACACTTACCGACAACTTCAATTCCGACGACTGGTCATTAATTTTGCATGTAATGTGGTCATCTCTCCAATTGTCATGCGGTTCGGACAAAATGTGTGAGCATGAGCTCGGAGTGTGTGACCTGAGGTTCAAGATCAGTACAAGAGACGAGTCAAAATCAGCGTAGAGATTCATCGGAGGAGGTCGTACTCATCGCCTCAGACTGAGTTGAGTAAGTATGATCGATCGTAGTACTTACCTTGCTTCTAAAAATGGCAAAATGACTGCTCACCGCCCGTCTCCAGTCCGCTCGCCGCTATCAAGTGAGGTTGTCGATATCAATGAATTGAATCCAAGGAAGCATATGACTTGACATCCAGGGCTCTCTGATGGATCCAATGTTCCGGCACGCTTGCTTCCATTGTCAATCCGAATTCAATGAACATGATGCTTGCACAGGCTTCCCCTAATACACCACCCATGGAGTGCATCAAAGCCTCGCTCTCAGGCTTTCCGAAATGGAATAGACCAGAATCACATCCAAGTACCCTCAAAGACTCTCTCAGGCTGATCTCCGACCTCCGCCACATGCATTGACCTCATGCTGATCGCAAAAAACAAGGAACGCTATTGTTCTCCTCCAGCGGCCTGATCCTGGTCAATCTAACCCCAAAGCTCTCCAAAGGAAGCAAGTATGGAGCTTGAACAAATCAAAGGGTGACGCACGCTGATCAGGGAGTCAGGGTCTTGATACACGCTGCATGGCGGATTTTATTGTGTGATTCCCTTGACTTGACCACCTGCAGTGAAGACGGTGGTACATCGTCCTCATTGTGCACCAACACGGCCGACCCCAGGTGCGGCTTGTCCCATATAGCAGGAACTCCAGGTCGCGAGCAGCCTAAGCGACGAGCTGAAAGAGTCAAGACGCGAAAGTTAGTAACGTGACCGTGTTACACAATTCTCGACTTAGCGCGGGCCGCCAACGTATCAACCTCAGTAGCCTACTCTCAACCGTCATTGTCAACGTCCTAAGTCATTCGTTCTGCCCTTCAGGCCTCTTCAGGCCCATCCCTGGTGCTACTGAGAGTATGTAATCTCAACACATGACCAGCCTGGCTCTCATTCAACCTCGAATATCACTCAATGCAGTTTTACCCTGCTCCTCGCGCTTTCACCCATTCCGGCACTCATACGAAGCGTTGACAAAGGCCTACAATTTGCAGGAGTGGCTATCTTCCACCCATTATTGAAGAGCAATCTCGCCGGCTTGGTCTGGCTCGTTACTCGGGTGCATTTCTGTGGACATCGTGACGTGCCGTGCTCTACCGATAGCAGTTTTGAAGCTTCTCAAGACCAGGCCTACAGGATATCTCGGATTTGCTCATGTCTCAGCTTTTCATACCCTGTGCTCTTCATCTCCCAACTGGTTCCCTTCGCATTCGAAGCAATGCGAGTTCAAGTATTCTGACAAATGATCTGGGAAACCCCTCCAGCCGTGTTCTTGGACGAAACTCATAGAGCCTAACATGTAGTACACCATCCCGCCAGCGGACATACCCAGATGTATATTCAACTTCTTGTCGGCTGACATGCGTCGGGACCTGGCAAGCACGACGGTGAAGCCATGTCTGTTCCACGTGACTGTACCGTGGTGATTATGTGAGTGACAGTCTGATGGTCACCGGGGGCATCAGAGTCGGCCCTCAAACTCAGAGTCGCCACGACGAGCCTGTTATTTGTCACGAGGAACACGTTCCATCGATATGCTCGGCTACTATGCGTTCACTCTCAACCTGGACCCTCTGGCTCAGGAAGTGCACCTCAACGATCATAGGCTCTGTGGCGTCGTTCTTCGACTCTCTCTATTAAACCTCATACCACTGGTGCGCAGCGAAACTTGGACACCCATCCAGTCCGTCTAACACTACTAGTACTCAGAGCCAATTATCTCTCTTGCGCCTCACCGTCGATGGCTCATTCAGCCGCCAAAGCAATTCACCTTCACCCGAATTCGCTCTATGTCCACACTACCCCATTGATCTCCAACCTCTTTCACTGGGCGTTCGTGCACGTCGATTCTCAGGGCGTCGCCACACGACATCATTGGGCGGCCACCTCTCTTGATGCACGCCACGGTCCAGAAGCGTATGTCGAGCATCCCCTCCCGAGTGGCGCTACTTCCAAGATCGAGAAAGATACTGTCCTAGCCTATTTCCACATTCTTGAATGCCCGTCCATATCAGTGGAAGAGTTCCGAATCATTTGCAGCAGTATCTTCCCCACGAGCTTTCCTACCGTCCAAGAGAATCGACAAGCAAACATAACGTGTCGAACCTTCATCACGCACGTCCTCGCTCGTATACTAGGATCCGAGGAACGCGCTGTTGAGATCGAGAACGTCATCACGAAGAAGAGTAGGGAATATAGTGGCACATACGCTTCTGATTTTCTTCTCCAAAGGCCGTATGAGACCATAGTTATATCTGTTGACAAAGGTCGCGTATGTTGCTCTGTCTAGTAGACCGTTGGTGTGTTGACTCATTTCGTTGCACAGCTACTGCGAGCAGAATAAAGTGAAGTATGCGTCTCGTTCATGAAATATTCGCATCAGCGAATGCATACTCTACTTCACTATATGCCCAACATTCAGCGGCAGTATCCCTTGATCCACACCGCTCTCTGTCGAATTCGGTGGCAGGAGATACAGTGGAGTTCAGATTCGAATGTGCCCCCCACTAGTCATCGGATTAGTATTCCAAGGAGTTCAAGCGCAGCAGGCTTCGCGCGTCGGTGCCCAGGGATCCTGCAGACTACTCACTGGAGCGGCTATCATGTATCTCTCCTATGCTATTGAAGCATGCCGATGCTCAACTTGTTGGAAGCATCGCGTTCATAACGATCGGGCATGATCAGCCCGTACAGGATCTACAGTAATGTAAGTGAACTTATTTCAAGGGCATGTGGTGTAGTTGGTTATCACGCTCGCTTAGCATTATTGTGCATGCGAGAGGGGTCCGGTTCAATCCCGGACATGTCCATTGCAAGTTGTCGAGTGTTATTTTTGAACTTTTTTCTCTCGTCGTCGGGTCAACACACGCTATTAATATTAAAGCTGCGAATAAGTACTCGAGTACAGTTCGCAGTTCGAGCAAGCATTCAATATTCAAGTACGAACCAGTATCGTCTCGCACGACGCAGTTGTAGCTCCTTAGGCAGTCGTGCCCGTCTGTCGCTCTAAGTACTCTGTCTGCCGCTGGGAGGTGACATTAATCCGAACCCCCTATGTGCCTCTTCGCCTCTTCGCCACTCGGTGCTCACCTCCACTCACCTCCTAGCTCACCTCTGCGACTGCGTAGGATCCCAATGAATATCCGGTGTCCCTTTAACAAACCTAGCAGCCGAAACCGTCACCATCAACTCTATCAGAACCAGAACACTACGGAGCTTCGGGTGTTTGAATTGGTATGTTATGGATCTTGCGCATCGACATCCTCCTGCTCTGAGTCGGGAAGCTGAACCTGCTTCTCGTTCCCCATGTCCCTCCGGGGCTGCTGACAAGGTTATCCTTCCTGTATCGAATGCCGACGCTCAATATTCGACATTGCAACCAGCCTTCAAGGTCTGTTCACCCGGTACCCGGTGCACTGCATATATCGCTTCGCAATGCCTCGGAATCTACTTTTAGGCTTTCCTTTGCTTTCTGACGGCCGAACCCTTCATATAGAGCCTCAGCGACATCTCATCGTCACACTCACGCTGCTTCTCCACTCACTGAGTGATACCTTCTCAGTGTTTTGCGATGCCTTGTATTCTTCGATTTGCAGGACGTGTGGCCGGATCCCCAGCGGTCTAAAAAGTCAACCACTCCGGGTCTGCGCGCACCAACTCCCTTCCTGCTCAATTCAGCCTTTATCGATATCCCTCGCCGCAGCAGAATCCGGATTCCGGGATGGCTGGTGCATGTCTGACCACGGCTCGTTGTCCTTCGCTTTCACTCGGACACTCCATGCTCGAGCAGCCGAACGCGACTCACGCAGACTAGCCTGAGGTGTTCGTGAAGCTCATCCTCGAGCTTCTCTGTGGTCACCTCGTCTCGCAATCTACTACAGGCCGGCTCTTCGACACCGACTTCATCTCGGAGATCCAACTACTCCGTCGCGGCTTCTGTTCCTTCATTGTCCTCCTTATCTTCACAATTGTTCTGAGTCGTCTCAGATTCTCAATAGGTCCTAGATGCTATCGTGATCTTCCAGGTCCGTTGGAACTCAGGTTCTGCCTCGCGGGACGCCATGGTCAAGGTGCAATGACTCATCATGGCCTGGTGGTCTAGTAGTATGATTCCTTCTTAGGGCTTCAAGTTATCTGGAGGAGGTCCCGGGTTCAATTCCTGGCCAGGCCCTCACGAACTAGCGGATTGGTTATCATATCCAAAGAGTTTACATTTTTACTTCCTTTTTATCGACGAGGCCTCAATTCGTGCTGGATTTGCAGTCACTTATAAGTATCCTCGAGCCTCAGAAGATGTAACTCTACACCCTGCAGTCTGACAATCTACGGACATATAACGAGTTGCTACGATCCGTATAGAAGCAATTGCCGTCATACGAATGATATCTCCATGTCCATTGTCGACGTCGAAGACTGGAACCCAAGATGCCGCAAGCGTTCTGACTAGGCTACATATGAGATTGCAGAAATAAGACTCATGAAACCATCCATACATCTCAATCTCGCACTATGCAATGCGATCACTTTGGTCCTAACAGATCCTTACAATTTCTTACCCAAGTCTTGGTCGAGCTCTGCTTCAGAGCAGCAGAAAAGAGGCTCATAATTGAAGACAAAAGATAAGGGCCTGGCCGGGAATTGAACCCGGGACCTCCTGCAACTTCAGCTCGGGATGAGCCGGGGTGATTAAACCCGAAGCAGGAATCATACTACTAGACCACCAGGCCTTGATATAGGGGCTTTTGTATGTCACTATGTACCCATCGCTGTTCTCCTCACTAACTTCCGTTGCAGTCTCGAGCTCGGCCTGAACGACGTTTACGCTGTCAACTGTATCCCGTCCCATACGAGCAGTGAAGGTCCTGTTCGGATCCATGCGTATGTGCAAACGACCCCGCCACACTTCAACCCGCAATGTATCTAATCTTGACCAACTTGGCGAACGCAATCCGTGCACTGCAAGTCGTACTTGCATAGCCTTTGAGAACGGTAGGGAATGTAAGGGTGGGTACTAGCCGGGGATGCATATCGACTGTAGCTGCGTAAGTGTTCAGAATAGTATTTGGCTTCAACGCACCTGACCATATTCTCGCTTCCTTTTCTTTCCACCCACCACGACGGATTGCTTGAATCCTGCAAAGACGAAGGGCGAGTATGTATTCCGTCAAGTGCGACGGATGGGTTTGGTTCCAAGGTAACGGTGGCGTCGGATTCGATTGTATAGCTCGCCGAGTGCGCGATGCAACGAGGAATCTTGTCAGTAGGAAGGTACTTTCAATAAGCAGTGACATTGCACGTCGCAGTGAATCCACGCTATGGATGGATACTTGGACGATCCTCCTGGCTGCGCGTCGTAAGGTGAACAGGTGCTGGCCCAAGTCGTGTCCGGGTGAGACCGTCGCGGTGTTGGGTTGAGATGTGCGTCCTAATGCTATCCATGCCAGATCCTAGCAACGAGGCAGGGTGCCGGGATATACCCCACACGGGGTTCGCTACGGAGGTCCCTCATAGTCGACCGTGCTTCGGGGAAAGCGAGTGGTATCTAGTACACCTGGATACAAACCTTGATCACGCACGACTGGGCCGCGCAGAGACTCTTCTCAGTCCGTCAGGAGGCGATATGCACGGTGGTCAGGGAAAGAGGAAGAGGAAAATTGATATATTATTGGCTACGCAGAAGGACCATACATTCAAAATACTACTTACCGACGAACACCACACTTACTACAGAAAACAAACGAGTTGCGACTTCGTGAAAGCCCCGTATCGTAAGTCCAACGGTCTCGGGTAAGAGCGACGAGAAAGAAAAAAGCAAGAAAAGCAGAGACGAGGAGATGTGAGCCGCAGTTTAGTACTCGACCACCCACGGCAAATCCGAAGATTGAGCGGTCAAGCGTGGACTGGGTTCTCGTGTCGATCTTCCGCGTCACAAGTAAAGGAGACGAAAGCATGGGGGTTCTCGAGTGAGAGCTTTGTCTCCAGGCTTTAGTGCGCGGGATGGAAGAGTCGTGACAGAGACGAGACGAGGGGACGTCCATAGGAAAGGGTGCTTGAAAAAACTTACGGATCACACAGATGGAGGCCTAGGAGTAGTATCGAAGGGCTATACATTGCACAGTTGTTGACGAGCGCGAAGCTCGATGTCAGAATGATAGAGCGAAAAAGCGCGGCTTTTTATGGGCCAGAAATACGCGATTCGGCCTGCCCTAAACAAGCGCACGTGGCAAGGCCCTTGAAGCAAATTCAGGCAACTCAACTCTTGAAGTCGTCTGTCGTGTACAGCTCTTTCCTGGATCCTGATTCAATACGAAGCAACCGCCAGATATTGGCCTTTCTGCATTGAGACCCCGAAGTCAACCCTGGAGGACGACGAGAACAATAGAGGAGCTCGGCGCCTATTCCCTTCGGGAGCGCGTAGGCGCCGAAGGACAATGGACTGGCCAGGAGGCGAGCGCAGCGTATTGTCTTCTTCCTCGAGCACCGTTGTCTTGTCTCTCTTATTTGTCTTCTCAAGGTCGGCCATGGCATCCTCTCTTGCACCGATACCACCATCACGCTCCCTACTGAATGACCACCACGACACCGACGCCGCCCATGTTCACCATCAGCAGAGACTCCCAAGACGGACGATATCCCAAGATGCGCCATAACGAGCTCACCATCTCTGTTCCTCCTCCAGACGTACCCATCGAGGTATCTCGCTTCTCACCAGAATCACCGCCGCTTCCCCCTGTTCCTCCCCGCTCTCGCGCTGCTTCTCCTTGGTCCGACGCATGGACGAGGCGAGCTTCGTCTACTGTAGCAGGGCAATCGAAGGACGTCGAATCCAACGCACGCACGTCGCTTTCGCCACGCCGCATGTCGACGCCCGAACCGGAGACTCGTGATTACTCGACATACCGGAGTAGATTCACAAAGCTGTTCTTCGACCTACGAACGCTGGTACGGAACAAGGAACCCGAGATTGTCCCTATCCAACCTCCCCAACTCCCTCCTTGGGAACCACTTCACATTGAGAAGAGAGGATGCTGCCATGACTGTCCGTGTCACACTCAGAAAGTCAAGACGAAGAAGAAGAGGTCGAAACGAGACAAGATCCTCATCTACCTTCTCGTACTCGTCATACTCTACCTCCTGGGCAACACACTCTTCCTCGATATCCGTGTCCTCAACCCTTCCAGCACAACAACAACCGCTACTCCTTCGAACGACACGGCCTCTACATCGACACAACTCTCTCCCTCCGCCCAACAATGTCTCTCCCAGTACACCATCAACGCACCCTCCGACCCATCCTCATACCCCTGCTCATCATGCCTCCCCATCCTCCAACAAGTCCCCTCGGACTTTAGCTCCTCGAACCAATCAGACGTAGAGCAGATCCAGAACGCCATTCAGTTCTGTGGGCTGAGAGCGTTCTTTGAGACTGCGGATTCCGATGGGCAAAGTGCGCTGGGGAATGGAGGGTGGGTGAAGGATGTGAGGTTTTGTGCGTGGAATGGGGTGGGATGTGATGGTGCGGGGAGAGTCAGTTCTTTGTACGTTTCCTTTCTTCGTTGTTGTTTCGATGACAGTCTTAGCTGACGGATATTTGCTTGCGTAGGACGTTGACGTTCCCTGGTGTACCTGCGCTCCTGCCAAACGAAACAGGCGCACTAACCGGCCTAACCTCTCTCCGCGTTATCGGAAACTCCGCTATCCCAGGTAACGTCTCCCTTCCATCATACCTTAAGTGACCTCTGCTCATCTCATCCATACACAGCCGGTTCTCTTCCCCCATCCTTCACCTCCCTCCAATCCCTCCTCACCC